CAGAGTGGCTGCGGTGTGTTCCTAGAGACGTCTGGGATGCTGAAAAATAAATAAAAAATTCCTGTTTCTTTTCTTCCCATCGAGCATCTGAGGCTGCATCAGGGCTGTGGAGGTGTGTTGAGACCTGTGGGCCTTCATACCTGAGAAACTATTGCTCAACGGAGACAAGTGATTGGAAACAGCAGACGATGCTTTCCCAATTATTTCATAATAACAGGAGCCACCTCCCCTGCCCCTGGACAGCACATGCTGCTCGGTGATTCTTTAACTGGGGGGTGAGGTGGGTTGGCTGCCTGTACGGACAGGGCGCTCAGCGTGCTGCCTGCAGCTCCTGCCTGCGTTTGGCTTTTCGGAGCGGTGCGCGTTCCCTCCCGCAGCAAGCGCTCCGTCTCGCAGGGCTGCGCTGGCGTGCACCCCCTCCCCGCTCACCGCCCGCATGCCGGGCGAGACCTCGTCCTCCCTGCTGAATTCAGACATGCAGCTGCTGCCAGCGGAGAGGGGACGAGGTGCAGGAGCAAATCAACGGGGGGACGTGGCCATGGCAGCCGTGCAGCTGAGCTGGATCCTCCTCCGGTTCTTCCCAGTATGAACCAGGCTGGGAAGGAAGGTCCCCACCACTTCAGCAGCTCTGCAGTTCGGTTTGTCTTTCTCCGTTGCCAAAGGCCGTTCGTGCTCCCGTGAGCTGGAGAAGGCAAAGTCAGGCGCTTGCTATCTTCATTTTTCACAGGCAGAGCTGTTTCTTTTGAGTGCCCGTCGCCGCGTCCCGTCGCGGTGGGTGACCTCCTGCCATGCGAGCACGCACGCTGCTGCAAGAACCGACGCTGGGTACGTTACGCTTCCTCACCCCGTCACATAACATGCCTTTTTTTAATGCCTGGGTCTTTAAGAACATCCAGATTAAAATATAATTTGTAGGTGGGGATTGCACCGGTGTCTGATTTATTATGGCTCCCGGCTCCGGGTCCTGCGGACGGCGCTTGCGGCACGCTGCCGACGCACCGCGTGTTGGACGGGGGGAATATTTTGAGTCGTTCCACCGTGCCGCTGCAAGGACCCGGCCAGTTCACTACCCAGGGGCTTGTGTCTCGGTGAGCAGTCGCAGGCTGTGCGGGTGGATCAGGGCACAGCTCCGGGACCAGGCTGCTTTCAAAAATATTTTAGAGGATCTTCCCCCATCGCAGCGTTAGAAAGCTTCGGAGCCGAACCGCCCCGCTCCTACAGCTAACACGGCGTGAAAGTTTCTTTTTAAGCTGCAAATGAATTATTGATGCAATTATTCATTCTCATTTAAATATCTATTTAATGGCATTTAAATAACAGTGTTCAGAATGTGTCAACAGTTTACACGATAATTTGGATTCTGAACTTTATACCTCTGTTTTCTCCCCACACAAATAATTGAAGCTCATCCATTTTGAGTGACAATTGTAGATAAGTATCACTTTTTTTCTATTGCACATGTGCGTTATCTAAATATATTAAATCACTTACTCAATTTTAATTTCATTTGAATGATTAATCAGTTACTTGGCTATAATTATTTGTGTTAAGACATCCCCGATCAGAAAACAGAGCAGAGAGACAATTAGGGAAACAAGTGTGTTGCAAATCCGCCCGGCCGCCTTGCAGCGCGTGGCTTGGGGTGCGGGAAGGCGCTGCCGGAAGGATTTCAAAAAGTGATACTGTTACTGCCAGGTATGCAGCACAACCATGGAGGATCAAGTGGGGTATCTGCCAAAGCAAGCTGCAGATCGTAGGTCTTTTGGTGTTGAAAATCAGCTTCAGATATGCTGTACCTTTTGTGTTTAAAATAGCTACCCAAAGGTGAAAATACCTGTCTTGCGGAATTTGTCGTAGTGTTAATGCTTATGGCTTTAGGGAAATGTGGGGTTTGTTTGGGGTTGTTTTTAAAAAAAACTTTTGTTTTATCCGTGCCAGAATGCTGCCGTAGCTCCAGATTACAAAATCTCTTGGATTTGTTCAGATGACCTTGTGTTGCTCTTGTAAGGCCTGAACATGTCAATCTGTATTTTGTCTAAAGTAACGAGATGTTTCTTATTTGCGTGGTAATACCAGCTACAAGAAGACAACAGCTGAAGAAATAAGCAGCCTCAGAGTGGAGAACACCTCTCTGCGAGAAGAAATTGCCAGCCTGAAAAAAATGAGTCAGGAGAGTCGACAGCTGCTTCAGGAAGCAGAATGTGCTAAAAATGAAGTGGAAGAAGAATGCGCAAGGTACGAGAGAGACAAACTTCTCCTTAAGCTAAGGAATGCCCGCGAAGGCTTGCCTTCTGAACTAGAACTTGGCATACAGCGCTCTACCAGATAAAATCGGTATTCAGTTTAAGTTTTTGGTGTCTAGTTTAAAGTATTAAAGTATAATATTTAAAATACTTATGCCAAAGGGTAAAGTATGTGGTAAGTTTCTTCCTTTTCGCAGTGCAGAGGATTGAAAGTATTGACAGACAAAATTCATGACCTTTCTGTACGTTAGAAAATGGGTCTGTTCAATTGCGTTGACTTTTTCCTCGATGTGGAGCAGACAGGAAAAGGGCAACAGTTACCTGAAATACGTTGGGAGATTGTCTTGATCAGAAATACCAGTTGCAGTGACTGCTCCACAGATAAGATCCACAGGGGCAGACAAACAAATTCTGAGCGCAGAGCTCTCCCTGTTGCTGCTCTGAGTCGTGTCACCTCAAATTCTGCTCCCGAGCAGATGCCAGTGACCCGCCCGTGAGGTGCCGCTCTGCAGCGCGAGCGAGGCCAAGGCCCTCTCTCTGCCCGAGAGAAAGCACCGCAGCGCAGCTGCCGAGTAGCAACCCCCAGGAAGCTGTCTTGGGCCGCGAGCTGAGGCCGTGTTTCTCCTCCGGCTGTCTGGCAGCAGCCTGGTGGTGTGTGCTCTCCTTCCACCCACGGCACGGAGCGTGAGAAAGGCCCTTGCTATGGGCGAGTCACTCGACTGCTGGAGTGCGGCCTTTAAAGGCCCCAGTGTACGGTCACCCGTGGCAGGCAACAGTGGGACCTGCCTGGACAGGAGCTGCGTTACGGAACGTGGTGTGTGTGTGCTGGAAGGCTTCCTTCCCCGCTGCTTTTAACGGAGTTCCTGGCTAGCTGCGGAAGCTGGGTTTAACTCAGCTACGCTCTGATCTTTTCAACTGGGGCATGTGGAGAAATGACTTGCTCAGCTGCATGGAAATGCTGTGTTGACCAAACTGAGTCTGGCATTTCTGATCTTCCCCGGTCTCTCTCTTTGCTGATTTGTAAAACGCCGCTGTAAAGTTTTGTGATGTTTCTATTGTCTTGCTCACCTAGAGCCAGTATATTAACAGTGTCCAGAGGACAACAGCAGCTTAGCCCAGCTTATTTTAAAAAACCTGTGCTGCTTAAGATGTTGCCCTTTCTTTCCTCCCCACCTGCTTAATACTGCCTCCAGCTCCCGTTAGAGCTGGTAAAAGAGCAAGGGCTGAAGAGTTCTTTGCTGGCTGAGGGTGCCAGGGGAGGGGTTCTCAGTCTCCACCCAGGGGAGGCTGGAGAGGGCAGGCAGTGCTTTAGGTGCAGGCAGGCATCCTGAGCTCTGGAGCACATCCTCGCTCCACAGTCTTGACTGGTTTCTGCTTGAGCAATCCTCTGCCAGTTAAGTCTGACTCTGAAGTCTCTTCCACTGCAAGCAGTTGGTGTTCAGCAGCCATAAATCAGAAATGCAGAATCCTTCCTTGCTTCAAAAGCACTGCTCTCTTTCTCATAGGAGAAGTTAAAAGTAATTGTGCCTCCTGGACTTGACCGCTTTCTGCGTTGTCGTTCTGCTCTTGTAGCACTGTTTGTGCAAATGATTAGCTCAGCTCTTCTACTAACAGCTTGTCAGCCATGGTTACTTGTGTTTTCAGATTTAGAGGAGTGTAAAAAAAATAACAAAATGAAAGAACAGGTTCACTAAGGATGGATGGTGTTTTCCTCAGGATGGTTTTAGAAATCCAGACAAAGGTTGCACTAAAAGAAGCAGAAAGAGAAGGAATGAGAGAGTCTTGCCTTGCACAAGTGACCACACTTAAGAAAAACCTGGAAGAGCAAACTGAAGATCTGAAAAGAGAACTCAAAGCGGAAAGATCAAGGTGACTTTCCTTAAACTAACCCTGCACGTTGCAGCAGATCAAAAGCTAGCGTGAAGAAGTGCTACGAGCTAACAGTGAGCGTCCTGAAACTCCACTTCTTGCTTTTTAGGAAGACCATAAATGCAGGTGTGACCTCCAGCTTAGAAGAAGAGGTGGAGACCTGGCGGAAGCTGTATGAAGATTTGAAGAACAAAACCAAGCCGTTTCAGGTGTGTGATGCAGCAGATGTCTGTCTGTGTCTGCTGGCTTCCGACTGGTGCCGGTGGCTCAGGTTCTGCTCCTGAGAAGCAGGCGTGCTGGTTCCCATTCTCAGCCATTTATCCTGCGGCGGTTTCCTAAGCTACTGTCCAGGAGCCAGCTATTCCCCTTCCCAGACCAGTCTGTCTTTAGATTTCAGTCCAGTAGAAAGCTGGGGAATCTAAAGGTTTCTAAATGTGTGTATTTCAGCAACAACTGGATGCATTTGAAGCAGAGAAGAGTGCGCTCTTACATGAGCATGGTGCTGCCCAAGAAGAACTCAATAAACTAAGCGAGGCGTACGCTGAACTCCTTGGCCACCAGAACCACAAACAGAAAATTAAGCATGTGCTGAAGTTGAAGGAAGAGAATGCCCACCTAAAGCAGGTTGGTGAAACGAAAAGCTACAAATGGGCATGTTATTGATTTGCTAGATTCCTTGGTGTGTTGCTCTAAATATTGACAGACTACTGATCCCGCAAACGACTGCGTTCCGTGGTTCTTAAATTCCCTGCCACAGCCAGGTTAGAACAAACCACCGGCCTCCTGCACCAGCAAGGGAATCTCTGTCAGTTTTGACTGAATGTGTGATGTGCAGAGGGATCACCAGTGCAAATAACTACCCCTGTTCTTAGCTGGGTTGGTTTTTCTTAGCTCTCTTGGAGGTTCGAGGCTTAGCAAACCATCTGCTGAAAGCAGCACCGGACAGTTTCGGGCTGCCCTGTGCTTGGTGGCCTTGCGCAGCAGTCGTAGTTCCTTTTTTAACGCCACGGAAAATTGTGTGCGTACATTTGTGGGTCGTGTTGCTCAGAAGCGCTGCTTCAGTGAAGGCTGAAGCAGGCTTTTCTGCTGTTCTTAATCTGACTTCCAAGTGTCACGTTTTCTTTAGGATGTCTCAAAACTGCGTGTGTTGCTGGCGAAAGAAAAGCAAACCAACAGAGATCTCCAGGGGCAACTGAACGCAGTCCAGGGCATTCGGCGTTGTGATCCTTCCACAGCTTTCCAGCACACCAAGGAAAACATCCCTCCAGAAACTCCTCTGGAAGAAGGTAAGCTTAGATTCTCGTGTAAGCACGTCCTTGTGGCTCTCAGGCTTACGCAAAGCAGGTACGACAGCCTCGTGCGGGCTGCTGCCTCTGGGGAAGGAGGGGGAAGGGCCGCTCGTGTGTCTTTCCCAGCGGATGCTGGAAGCAGCCCTCGACGGGCCTCATCTGGCGTGCTGCTGGTTTGCTGCTGGGCTTCCCAGCCCGGGGCCTGACGGAGCAGGCAGAGGGGTGGGTCAGGTCAGGCAGCAGCAGGAGTCTAGGGGGGCAAGAGGAGGGAGGGAGGGGTTACAGGCAGGCAGGCGGTTTGCACAATCTCGCAAGATGGGAGTTGGGTGTTGCTGCCGCGTGTCTCCTCCAGCTTCCCCGCTGCCGTGCGGGTGACACGTTGCGGCAGCCCGGGCGTGCGGCGGCGTCGCCTGGGCGGGCAGTGGGGAGA